TTTATATATATTTTATATACCTGGTGACTCTTTAAATTTGATATTGTTTCCTAAAACGTTTGTTCGTTTTATTCTAAACGCTCGTTTGTTTGTTTTATTCTAAAAGACTAATATACACTTAATTACTGTTTACTAAGATAAAGTTGGTAGAGTGAGATGAACTTTTATGATTTACTCAAGTAAAAATAAAAAAAAAAAGAAAGGTATCCTGATAATTTGTTTTTTTCTTTTTTTTTTCATTTTATTTCTCTCTGTTACTCTTTGGTAGACCAGTGAGTGGTAACAGGTAACGGGCACGAAAATGTCCGTTACCTTTTCGACGAGAGAAGCATTAGGAGAAGAAGAAGATCTTCCTCATTTCAAGAAAATATCACGTAGGCGACTCTCGATCGTGTGGTCTACCTTCTAATTTTTTTTTTTTTCGTTCTTTTATTTCTCTCTCTCTCTCTCTCTTTCTCTGTGTATTTTTCTTGTCATGTATTTCTTCACTGGGTCACGACGAGATTGGAATTTGATTATAATATTCCACGAATAAGTTCTCACAAATTTATATAAGAAAAAGAAAAATAAAACAAAACACACCTTTTATTATTCCATACACTCTCACTTGACACAACTCTATTCTAATCTATGATATTATTATTATTATTATTATTGTTCTATTTTAAGTTCGTGATAATAATTATTTATTCATTGAGATGACAATTTTTATTAATAACAATAAATTATAGAAATACGAGGACGGATAAAGGATGACGGCCGAATTTCCGCCATCTTCTTATCCAAACTCCCAGCAACAGCAGCAGCAGCAGCAGCAAGTACACCTATGTGTTATAGTACACCTTTCCTGAGTTAGTTTTGTATCCCTCCGGTGTGCGTGTGCGCGCACGTCCTAGTTCGCGAAACACCGTTTATTTTAAAAAGGATACACTACTGTCAATACAAATTTTTTTCGTATGAATAACCTTGTTTTTTTTTTTTCTTTATTAATATTCAAATTATTTATTTCATTGAATGTACTTTTTCTTTTTTCTAAATACATTATATCAGTGACGGGTATTTAACGGTGACACGAAACACCTTTCGTAGTCATAAAAAGAAAGATGATATGATATATATGTATATGTATATATATGTATATATATGATATATTATTATATATATATATAATAAATGATCTTTTTTTTTATGAGATTAAATGATTGAAATCATCTTTTTGTCAAGACATGTTTTTTTAATTTTAAAATCAAATTGAAATTAATTACGGAGTCTTTACGGTGACGCGAGATTGACATTTGAGAATTTCTCATCAATTTCAACTAATTTGACAGAAATCGATAGATAGTGTATTTTTATCGTAGTATTATTGAAAAACAATCTATTTCATCATTAATTGTCAATCTATATACATAACATACTTATAAATATATATACATATATATATTTAGAAAATATTGACTGATTGTATTATGACATGCCTTTGTATCTTTGATGCGATAGGTTAGGTCATTGACGATGACCACTCCAAAAACATTTCGAATATATCCATTGATCTTCCAAACTGTCAAATTTTTATTATTCAGACAACGAGTGATGATCACATTTCGAAATTCTAAAAAGAAAGTTGAAGGTCGTAATCACTCGAACGTGTTGCCTATAGTCATTTTCGTGTCATATCAAATGAATAATAATCACGATTTTATTATTTATATCGAATATAAAAACATAAATGAGCACGTTTTTAATCACATTTTAAAATTGACTGTTTTTTCTTTTTTTTAATACGATAATAAATTCGAGATAATTTAACACATTCACTTTTCTTTTTTTTCACGATAACACATTACCAAACCGACGGTCTTGGCTCCACTGTAACGTGTGATTTTCTGTCATTGACCAAAGGACCGCTTTAGTTTTGTTTGCGATACTAACGTCATCTACGAGTTTGCGAAATATTCGATTATCATTGGTTCTTCATTTTCGCGCCATTTTTGTTTGATCTTATTTCAATGATATCTCGAATAAAATATAATATATGTATCTCTGTTTTACCGTTAATATTTTACTTTTCATATTTAATTTTAATCAAATTATAATATTAATATTAAATTACTTCGATTTTAGTGATATTCTTCAAAAATATTCGTAATTTGTGAAAAACCGCGTAAATGAAATAACGTCGATAATGTAGATTCCTATAGTACAATGAGATCACTTTACCAATTGAATTTTGTTTCCATGAATTTGGTAACACTGAATCGTATGTTAAAAGCGCGCTATTGTGCATCACGTAAATATATTCTAAAATCTAATAAATATATAAATATTTTTTTTTTTACTTTGATTTAATTATTTCATAAAGATTAGGTTACATTGTAAATAATGACTAGTTCAGTTAGTACAAATCCATCAACATTATTACCATTAGGTAAGTTAAATGATAATATTATCAATATAATATTTTTGTGTGGTTATATTCATCATTAGTTTAATAATTTGTTATTGTTTGAAAATTAATTGTTTATAATATTTACAGAATTAGTTGATAAGTGTATTGGATCAAGAATACACATTATCATGAAAAATGACAAAGAAATAGTTGGTACTTTATTAGGATTTGATGATTTTGTAAATATGTTATTGGAAGATGTGACAGAAAGTGAAGCAACACCAGAAGGTAGAAGAGTTACAAAATTAGATCAAATTCTTTTAAATGGTAGCAACATTACTATGGTTAGTATATTAAATTTAAATAAATAAAAGGACAATCATTAATTTTGCTTAATTAAATAAATATATAATTTAATGATAATTTATTTATTATTACAGCTTGTACCCGGCGGTGAGATGCCAGACACATAAAATTACGATTCACCTTTTTTTTTTTTTCATACATTTTCGATATATTATTATTATTATTGTTATTATCTGTAAACATCATTATTTAATAATGTATAAAAATAAGCTACGGGTATACTCGCAAGTATAGAATATAATATTTAATTTTAAATAAAATCTACTTATCTGCTAAGATATCAAGCATATGGATAACTTTACTTGCTATTGGTCTAACATTCATTTTTTGAGACCACATTTCTCTATACAATGATTTATATCGTCCATCAAATTCATCGTTGAGATCTTCATCGGATGGTCTTTTTCCTTTTATAGATAAATATATAATAGTATGCACGTGTAATCCCACAAATGGTATCTTTCTAGAAAGTAATTGCCAAGCTAAAACACCTAACGAATAAATGTCTGCTGCAGGACTAGGAATCATACCACATAAGACTTCTGGTGCTGCATAACCTGGCGTACTTTTCATTACCTTTAAAAGAAAAACATCAACATAATGAGGCTTTTTTTTTTTTTTTCTATCAAACTATCAAAACAATTATTTGTACAAACTTTTACCTACGTAAGATATCTGTTGTTCGTGTACTTCATCTATTAACACAGAACTTCCAAAATCAGTAAGTTTAGGTTGACCACAATTTCCAATTAAAATATTTTTTGGTTTTACATCGGCATGAACGACACCCATTTTATGACAAAATTGAAGAGCACAAGTTATATCTCTCCAAATACGAACACGTTCCCTTTTATCTAATTCTTTCTCTTCCAATTGATCTTGCAACGTTGTACCACATAATTCCATTGTTATCAATGATAAAGCAGCACCTTCTTCAATGCTTAAAATATTGACGATATTGGCATGCCTCAATAAACAAGCGTGTTTCTCTGAATTTATTGTATTATTTTTATTCTTTGATTTTTCCAATATTTTAGCAGCTACTTGAGTTCCTATATTTCATTAGTTACAATTCAATTTGATAATAATACAATTAGTATGATTTAATTAATTAATTAATTAATTAATTAAAATTATTACCTTTATACATTGCCTTGTACACTGTACCAAAACCACCAATACCTAACACGGTTCGTTGTTTATTAGGTAGACCATTTCGAAGAATTTCTTTTCTATCAGGCGTATTAACATTAAAAGGTGATAATTTATTTTTATTTTCCGGCGATTTAACATAATTATTATTTGTTAGAAGACTTCTAGGACTCAATGTATTATTTCTACAAATGATACTTCTCATTGAATGGAATGACAAAACACAACGCAAGAATTGTTTTCTAATAAAATATTTTATTTAAATGAATTTAACGTTTTGCGTATTATTACCTTGAACTTGATATCGGAGATAAACTTCGAAATTTAGAAATTAATCTTGGCGATGCCATTTAATACACATTAACAATTTATTCATTTTATAATTAATCCAACAACGTGGAATAATAATAATAATTCAAGTAAATATATATATATATATATATATATATTTTTTTTGTTTGATAGATAGATAGATACAGGTAAAGGTTTCCTTATATCTTGTTTATGACAAAAGGTCACAAAAGAAAAACAAACGTAGATGTAATATTTAAGTAAATAATAGAATTTACAACGGAAAGCAATTAAAATATTATATTTTATTCGATTCTCATTCTTTCTATTTATCTTAAGGCGTAAAATCAGCTACTAAGAGCCCTATTATTATTATTATTATTATTATTATTATTATTATTATTATTATTACTAATTATTACTTCTTAATACTGTACGATAATTAAATTATTTACAGTTTTTCTTTTTCTCTTCTTTTCTTCTTTATATCATTTCTCTCTCTCACTTCGTAACAATGATCGGTTTTCTTCTTTTTTTTTTGTTTTTTATTTTCTTCACCTTTTTTTTTTTTTTTTTTTAACAATCTTACTCTCAATATAATATCAGTGGTGTGAATACAATAACGTGTGCCAAATACTACAATAATATACGGTGTTGTCATTTTCTACTGACGATTTTGTGTATGTGTGTATTTTTTTTTTTTGTTGATAATTTGTATGTATTACAAATGTAATATTTCTAATAAAGAACATGCTTGTAAATTACGCGAGAGATTTTTTTTTTTTACTTTTGTTATAGAACAAGAGCCCACGACGGCCAGATCTTCGTTATTTTGTAAAAGCTGAAAGTTTTTCTGTGCATGTCCCCCTTATACAGGTAAAAACGACCAGCGATTATATAGAGTTTGGGTTATGGTTACTTGGGCAGGTAAACAGGTTGTAAAGGTGTATAAAATAGTATCTTAAATTCGTTAAATTTTTGGATTACCGTCTCGAAAGACCAGACCTCGCTAGCCGTTCAGGGTAGGGTGATCAGTCTCCCTAACGCCGTCCCAAAATCATCGTGGCGATTTGCGTAGCAGGCCTTACCGGTAATAACACGGGGCCCAAATGCTCTCAAACCACGATAGAGCAGGCATGGCTTTCTCGTTCAATGTCGGAGAGCGGGACCTCGAACACCCACGACTCTCCGGATGGGAGTCGAGCGCTCTGCCAACTGAGCTATACCGTGCTCATGTTAAAGTATAAAGCTCAATTTTTGTATATTTTCTTCGGGATAACTTTAGAAATCTCGTCATCTTTATAAACTGTAATAAACTATAATTATACTTTCGTTATAATATAAAAGAGACCAGAGGTAGATTGCTTTACCGGTATCTCCATTGAGATACCCAGCATGCAGTTTAGGGGTGTCTGGCAGGGGGTAACAACTGTCATAAGTGTCCGGCAATGGATGAAGAGATTTCTAAAGTTATCCCGAAGAAAATATACAAAAATTGAGCTTTATACTTTAACGAATTTAAAGTACTATTTTATACACCTTTACTATCTGTTATCTGCCCAAGTAACCACAACCCAAACTCTATAGTCGCTGGTCGTTTTTACCTGTATAGGGGACATGCACAGAACAATTTTCAGATTTTATAAAATAACGAAGGTCTGTTCGTCGTGGGCTCTTGGGCTATTATTATTTATAAGATGTATATATATATACTTTGTTTTTTTGTTATTTTTTTTTTGTAATTATTTCTCTCAGTTTCTCTATCACAATTATAATAAGTAATCTACCTTACTTTTGTTTCTTGTTCGTAATTATTTTTTTTTGTTTATTCTACTTATTGTTTAGAAGAGATAATAATAACTATAATTAAAATGATTTAAGAGATACGTTGGAACGCATTTGTATGTAAGTACTTGTTTGTGTGTATTTATGTATGTGTAAAGTGTATTTGTATGTATGTAAATTCATAAGCGGCAAAAGTAAACATTTTGTTAACAATGTTGATACATATAATGATTAATAAAATATTTCGACGAATTAAAATATATATTTTTTTTCTTCTTCTCTTACATACTCTCTCTCTCTCTCTCACACACACACTCTTACTCTCATTCTTTCTAATTATTTTCTTTTTTTTTTCATTTCAAAAATGTTATCTCTTTTTCATATTGCAAAATTGCAATATCATTGTAATATACAGTGTTACATTTGAATATGATTTAAAATGTGTAAATATTCTATATTCTATATATAATTCTAATATATTCTAAAAAAATGTAATGATCAAATCATCTTTCATCTTCGTCTTCATCTTCATCTTAATCTTCTATCTATTCTCATGTCAATTTCTTTTTTTTATACTTATTTGCATTACACACTTAATAATAAAGCATTTAATACGCATGGAACTTGTGAATAAAAATGAAAACATTAAAAGTAAAATGAAAATTGAATACATATCTCTTATCAATACTCTTATCTTGATAATTAATTCTTAATGAATAAATTCGCAAGAAAAAAAGAATAATAATTAGATATATTAACAATAATAATATTTATATTTATATATATATATATATGAAAGGATTATTAATGGAATTATTATTTCATTTAAGTAACCTCGTTAATGTTATTTTTATCATTTTGTATTTTTTTTTTTTTATCGATGAAATTATTTCATGAATAATGAAATTTAGTTTTCGTTTATCAATTCAATTAAAATGAAAAAAAAAAATACTGTATAATTATTTCTTAATATAGATTATATATATATATAAATTTAAATGTATGCGAAAATATTTACTTTACAATTAGTTAAACGAAAAAATTTGTTTCATCTGTTCGAAAAATATCAACTTTTACATTGTTTTTGAGCTTTTAGTATCGAAAATAGCTATATATATTATAACGCAATAAGTAACGTACACAACGCGCTTATTACTCTTCTCAGGATTCAATGTATTAATTATTCAGGTACCTTTCATTTAAAATACATTTCTTTTTTCATTTGCTATTCTTCTTGTTTCTTTTTTTTTTTTTTTTAACTTTTTATTTATTTATATCTTTTTTTTTTTAGAGCACCACTTAGATTGCTTCGAAAAAAGAAAAATTAAGTAATACTTCTCTTTTTTTTTCTTCTTCTTCTTCTAAAGATTAATATTTTATCTCAAGAAAATTTGAATTTAATATATATATATATATAAGATATATATGAGCAATTTATTTTGAAAGTGGTCTAAATCCATTTTCCCAAAAAAGTCAAGTTACCTACTGTAATAGTTATTTATAGTCATTTTGACTAGTTTGATAACTGTATTTTCAATATCAATCATGATTTTGATACCAAATATTGTACTTATTGTTATTATACATAGTTTTTAAAATCTCAGAATATGGAGTTCCTTTTGAAGAATAATAATAAGTCAATAAACATAAAAATATTCYAATTTTACATCTTTTTTAAAGACGAGTCATTTTGTCTGGTTTTGGTAGAGACAGCTACGTCTCAACTGTCGGTAGTTCTAGTGTTAAAGAAGCAATGAAAAAATTTATTTTGAAAGTAGCCTAACTCCAATTTTTAAAAAGGGTACATAATTCTAACGGAGAATCGATAAACTGCTTAAAAATATGTTTCAATGTGTTTTGTCAGAAATGAACCGTATCAAATTTTCTGTAAGACATCGATGAATGAGAATGAAAATTTAAAAATCCTGAATTAATTACCACGTCAGGGGTAGACTAAAAAAGTTTGACAATATTATATTGACATCACTGTATGAAAATATCGAACAAATTACAACAGCAAAATTCAAGGACATAATAGATCTACTACGACATATACCAACGGAATATCACGATTTCTTCAAATCCCTTTCATACACGCAAAATGTAAATGAGCAGTAAATTGTTTTGTAATTGATGTTGTTAACAAATCTTTTGAATCGCATAAATTATGTTTCTGTAGTGTTTTAATGATATGTATAATAAATTGAGTATTGTTTTTTTCAATTTGAAGCATCTTAAATTAAGTTGAATGGATTTAGGCTCTTTCAAATTTTGTAATGAATCTGGTTGTTACTTTTGAAAGTGACCCTAATCCATTCGTGATAAGAAAACGCATATTATTCATTTAATAATTACCACTATTTTAATAGGAACTACAAATTGAACTCCTTTAGATATACACAAGCAGTATGACACATTAGTATTGGGTTGGCAACTAAATCATTGTGGATTTTGTTTTACATCTGATTGTTTTTTGATAGCAAAGTTCAGAAATGTTATGAACGTGGCATCAATACAAATGGACTGTACCTAATTGAATAAACTTATATTTTTTGGCTGATATTTTGAATTTTCATTCTTATTTAACCCTTTCAATCAAATCAGTGCGGGTACGTCTCACTACAAAGATCAGTTCATTTCTCTTCCAAGCGATTATTAGATAAAATAACTTTTATGCCTAAAAGATTGAAGGACTTGGAGATGCACAAATGTCCCCATAATAGTGCACCATCAACAATAGTGATTTCACGATTGAGTTTTGAATTGATTGACAAATTTTTCCGACTGGGACAGCATATGTCCCAGCCTTGCCAAACTTAATTGCCAACCCAATATCTTTTACTTATATTTTTAATTGCATTGAAACGCAAACATTTCAATATGTCAATTCAAACATAAATTGAGTTAGGCCACTGTTAAAATAAACAACTCATTTATATAAGAAAATTAAATATTAATAAATCAGTAAAAACATTGCCAGACTTCATAAAATTTGCCTAAATTTTGTAATTAACAGATATGCTAATCTTTAATTTTCTCAAAACGAGAGACTTACAATGAACTTACACCACTTGCAAAATAAACAGCTCATATATAGATGCTCGTGAGATTAAGTACTATTAAGTATTATAAAATATAAGAGTGTTATTATTTTTTGAAGATTCAAAGACAGATATAATATTTAAAGATTGAGTGTAATTAATTAAGTATAGAACTCTGTAGGCTGTGGAATATTAAAACGTAAAATGTATCCTTGTTAATAATTATTATATCACTACACCACATACATATGTGTATGAGGATATATATATATATATTATATGTAAATATATAACATTAAGTTTCTCCTGAGAAGATACTGTGTTAATTATATTTTCAGACATTTTCAAGCTCGACTATGTCACTCTGAAATAGAGTGTTAAGTGTTAATTCAATAGGAAATTAATGATTAATTTTTCTTTCAAGTTTTTCTAATGAAAGAAGCAAAGAACTTTTATTTATTTTTTTCAAAATATGATTTGTTTGTTAAATAATTTGAAGCCCGTTGTCTTTTTTTTTTATTTCTTTCTTTCTTTCTTTCTTTCTACTTTTTTTTTTTTTTCAATTTTGCTTTTAGAATGAACGTTTGATAAACGTTTTTTTGTTTGTTTTTTTTTTGTTTTCAAAAACTTCTATCTTTTTTTACATCATTGTAATCGTCAATGATTCTTTGAGATTTGTTTTTTCTTTCTTTCTTTCTTTCTTTCTTTCTTACTTTGAGTGATCTCTCAAATTTGGCACTATTTTTTCTTCATATTTTACGTGCCTAAAAGATACGTGCACCGTTTATTTCAGTTGTTGTTGTTGTTGTTGTTGTTGTTATTATTATTATTTTCCTGAGTAAAACTATCTCATTCTTCTCATACTACACACAAAATATAACGACGCCTCGTAATTATTTTATTTAGAAGTGCGTACAACACCACGATGACACGATGTCAATTCATCATCTAATATATTCTAACATTTTTGTATATTTTTTTTATTTTGAAGATAAGTTACACTTATCTCAAATTGGGCATTCATTTAGGCATGCATACGTATAATCATCATCATCATTATCATCATCATCATCATCACATTGCTTAATCATTTTGATCGCATATTATATCGACAGTTCATCAACTATATATATATACAATGTGTTTAATATAGAAAATAATCTTCACACATGTGTTCTTTTTTCATCATATTTTGTCATCTTCATTAGTAACTTATTTCTAGTTACTTTTCTTTCCACTACTACAACATCAACATCAATATCAACATCAACATCATCATCATTATTATCATCATCATCATTATGGACTATATATATATATATAGATTGATTTCATTTCTTGAATAAAATAAATGAATCCTCTCTTCTCTCTCTTTATTTCTCTTTTGAGATTGATCGGGGACAACTCATAAGAAAAATTATTATTATTATTATTACTTTTCTTTAAAGATATATATATGTATATATATGTATATAGATGATAATACACAAGAATAATATATACGAATATTATTATTATTTGTATTATTATTATTTCGTTTGGTTGTTTTGTTTCGAAGAATTAAGAGAGAAACGTGGTGTTGTTTTTTTTTTTTTAGAGAGTAACGTTTTGTTTTAAAATAAAAATAAAACGTATATATATATATATATATATGAGAAAAAGTTATACATCAGGATGAGATAATTAGTCGTGAATATAAGGCACAGTCTAACCAGGTAGCGGAGCTTCCTCATAAAAGTCAGGCTCCTCTTCGGTGCTTTCTTTTTCCGGTTCCTTGCTATCAAGAGCTCGTAGTTCAGCAGGTGTAAAGAAGTGTTTCATTTGACTACGCAGTGGTATCATCAATATTAGGAAGAACGGTAGAGCTAGGGCTGCTTGTGTACTTTTAACGATCCATAGTATTGCTAGACACAAGATTTGTATCGTAGTGAATATGTGCATTTTAAATGTTTGTACACGCCGAACATAAGTGGCTGGCCCATGATGTTTAACCGGCATGAAGAAAAGCTTAACACGATCGAACAATTGTACGCCATTTGTAGAGGATATTCCCATGTATAGGAACACCCCTAGAAGGACGGACATAGGTACTCGTCGTAAAAGTGGTGCCATTAATACGCTAACACCCATCAGTATTGCAACTAACAACGCACTGACACGTTGTTCTATGACTTGGACTATATGCGGCTTGTCACCAGGTGCATGTGTACGTGACATGATTGTAACAGCTGATACATGTGTTAAAGAACGTACAGATGCAGCACTGCACCAAGGTGAACCCGTTAATCCACAACCAACGTTCATCAGACATACCACAACGATATCCATGTGGTAACCGTTACCTTTACGCAATTTACGTTCCTTTTTGTCGATGATGAGCCTGTATTGACACAATAATATATAATAATGAGAGAAAAATTATAACAAAATAATAAAAAAAGGATATTAGTCAATAATACTTACTCGGAAATTTGAGTTTCCATGAAAACAAGGATGTAAACCAACAGGGCTGGAATGGCACAAGCAAAAGTCATCCAAACTGGGATAGGTCGACTTTCACCACCTGGAGAAACGAACCAATTTCTTCCAGCGACGGTTGGACTCAATCCTTCTGGTACCAATAACTTTTCTGTTTTTACGTTGGCCAAATAATCGATTAGGACGAATACGATAATACTAATGGGTACACCAAAATCACCGAACGCTCTTCTTGCGCTACGGCCAAGGTAATGACTGTTACGGAAGATTCGTAAATAATAAGCACCCAGGAACGTGCCTAAGCATAATATCGTACACATTAATGCTGTGTTTGGTTGATTTATCAATACTCCTCCTTCATCTTGTTTAGGTATTAGCGTTCTCATGTCGTCATAAGCTACTGATATTTCTGTACCGTTCCACATTTCGTAAATGATTTTTATTTCAGTTACGTTTATTGGTTGAGTTTGATTGCTGTCAGGTAAAAAGTTGTATTCCTCTAATAAAGGATTACGTACGAAATAATTGTACAATTTGATAAACGTTTCAACTATGTAAAGAAGAGAAATCAATCCTGTGAATATTTCTTCTGTAAAACGTGTGAATAATCTAACCAAAACTGAACCTTCAACCGAAGCAATAGCTAAAGCTATTATACCCATCCAAGCACCAATATAAACCCTTACGGTAAGGAACTCAAGTTCATTAGCCTTGCAAAATTTATAGAGACTCTCGTCAAACAGTAGAAGGGGTCCTGTAGTGCCAATAATGACCAATGGTTGAGTAGCAAACAATGCCATAATTACTCCTGTCCATGAACCGGATACCAAAGTTTCCGAAATTCCAATGGTATTTTGTGTTTTATCGCTCATCAATCCACCGAATGTTATTGCTGCGCATAGTGCTGCGAAATACATGAAAATTGCTGCTGCTATACAGGAAGAGCTTAATCCGTCGGTAAAATCGGATAGATAATGAGGATAACGTCTTTTGATGTCGTTTATTAAACCCCCAAAGGGACGTCGGGTTCTGCGTAATGGATCGTCATCGTCAGGTGGTTTCTTTTCTTCTTCACCAGCTAGAAGAGCTAAAATTATATCAATTATAACGATAGGAATTATTTGAATAAATATTTATTGATTTACAAAGTACTTACCCTTTTTTATAGCTGCTTCACTTTGTACAGGTTTGGTCTTTTCTTCAAGAGCTTTAGCTTTTCTTTTTCTAATTGCTTCACTTTTTGCTTTTAATTCGTTGAACGGTAACAAAGCTTGCCTTTCCCAATCCCCAGGTGGTAATACGATGGAATCATCAAGGAATTCATTAATTGCAGAAAGTAATTCTCTTCTTTCATTAGCTTTGTATGCAACTTTATGGAAAGAAGTATTTGCCATTAATGTGGCAATGGATCTACCAATTTCATGATAATCCAAATCACCGTTTCTTGGACCCAACAATGTGAACATGAATCTTACTGGTATTTTAACTTCCGTAATGGCTGGCATAAATACACCCTCGGCCAATCTAACAAATGCTATTGTAGGTTGATCGAGAAAATCAACGGCACCTACGAGTACTATCGTTGCTTCTGCACCAGCTGGTATTCTTTTTAATATATGCTCGTTTTGTCCTTTTTTATTAAGATCCTCGTTACTACTTGTAAATGTCAATTCTTCTTTCATATCTACCACGGCGTGATTACTATTGTCCAATGCCGAATTTGATGAGACGATTTTTGGCTTAGTGTCGTTCAAATTCTGTGAAAATAAAATGAAAATTTTGTTGTAGTTGTTGTTGTTTTCTACTTTTTAAAATTTTTAAATTGTTTTTTTTTTTTTTTTTATATTTGTAATACATGTATTAATGTGATGTTCAAAGATAGAACGGGCATAGGTTTTCTGAATTTGGATTTTTACCACACGGTTGTGTTGAATGTTTGCTGTATGAAAAAATTAAATAAAAAAATTAAGAAAAAAAAAGAAAAAGGCAAGATTAGGAATTTATTTCTTATATTATTTATACATTTTTTTTTGCTAGATATTATTATTATTATTATTATGATATATCTATGTTTTATATTCTAAATTTCTAAATCAACTATGTGAGGTAATAGAAAATCCTATGCACCGTTTAAGATATGACACGAAATATACATATGCGAATTAATGATAAGAAACTAATGGAAAAAAAAAAACGAAAAACATGATAAGATCCAGATGATAGTAGATATTATAAACAAGGTGCAAAATACCTAATTAAAATGGAAGCGAAGAAAATTCGTTGCTATTAATGATAAATAAACAAATAGTATATATATATATATATAAATATATCATTGAAAAAGGTCTAATGTTTGAATGGAAAGAAAAAAGATAGGAGCCCTTGAATAAAAGGAAACATAAAATAAGATCAAAAAATGGCTAACTATATTTAAAAAATAACAAAACAAAAGGGTGCTAAAAATTGCGTGTCCATGAACTTACACAGGTCATCTTCATTAATAATTCGAACATAATTTTTATTTTTAAATTTTTCATACCTACACAACGTTAATAATAGGTGATATGATTATTATTGGACCTTGTAAATTCATGTTAAGGTCTTAACGAAGAATGCAGATATTAACTTTGATGAATATAGCTTACGAAGAGTAAAACAGAACAACGAAAAATATATGAGCCGTTTATTTTGAAGATGGCTGAACTTCATTTTCCAAAAAAATCGAGTTAATTACCGTAATATTAGGTCGACAGGAAAGTAATGTCATTTTTTAACCTCAAAATTCAAACAAATCAGTTTGGAAATAACAAGTTTTTATTATTAATCAATAATTAAATTAATTAATCTAATAATTAAAATAAATACAAAAATTGAGTATTGTTTTTTTTTTCAATTTGAAGCATCCTAAATTATGGACTTGGGCCTCTTCAAATTTTTGAATGAATCTGGTTGTGTTAATTTTGAAAGTGGCCTAAATTCATTCTTGCTAAGAAAACGCATATTATTCATTTAATAACAGTATGACTCATTAGTATCCTGTATTTATATTTGGAATTGCATTGAAACGCACCCTCTCCCCCTTCAATATCTCGATTTGAACCTAAATGAAGTTACTAGCCACTTTCAAAATAAACGGCTAATATAAAGTAATCAAAAAGTTAGCGTAATTAAATAAAAGAGAGAACAAAGAAAGAATTGATAACTGCATTCAATAATTCGGGATACGAATGTTTGTTGTGTTATTTTACATTTTGGGTTACATGGTTTTCAGTGGCTCCTCGTGCAGCCTCTTCTTCCTCCAGCCAGATGGACTGTGGAAATATGACATTGGGTAAATTATTTTTCCCCCTAATTTACAAACTATTACTATACGATTGGGATTAGTTTACTATATCATTAGTAGGACTCGTATATTTTCTTTAGTTTTATGTTTATTTGAAAACAAAAACAAAAAAAAAGAAATAAATATTAGAAGTATCAAACAACACAAACTAAGAATATTTTCACGTATAACCGATTAGACCAAGATCCACTAATTGGTTGATCATCCAAGAACCATATCCTTTTAATTTACCTATAAAAACACATGACAAATATGATATTATTAATGAACCAACCTGTAAACTAGTGTAACTGGAGTAGTTACGTTTTCCAACAAAACGAAATCCTCGATCATGTTCATGTACGTGTCTGTGTTTCAATAGAAGAGCTCTCATGATAACAGATCTATCTTCTGGAAGTATCAACTCTTCAATCACCATTTGTTCAACCATTCTATAGGTAAGTCCGGGTAAATCCTTTTCCTCAAGGTCGAGTAATACAACACCGGTTTCGAGACATCGACGAAGATTTAGCAACGAATGAAAACTTAACGAAGCAACGTGCGGTCTGCCCCATCTGTCAGCACCTTCCTCAACATCTTCCTCGTATTTGATCCAACGTGCCGTTTCTCTCCATTCACGTTCCTCACCAACCCCATGAAGCTCGTCCAATTGTACGAACACCTCGTGGGGCGAATGATCGTACATTTTTTTGAAAGCCTCATGTGGTATACCACCTTCCTTTCTTCGTCCAATTTGTACTGTAGAATGGGCAGCCTTGTGACGTCTCATTCCACGTGGATCGTCGCTCCTGTGAGATTCCAAATCGTCTATGTCCAATTCTTGAAGTGTACTTGCCTCCTCCGGTTGTACGCTCACTCTCCTGGCAAGTATACCAGGACCATCTGGAAGACCAGCGCCAGAACGTTTTCTCCATTGTGGATCCTCTTGTAAAGAATATTTTCTAGATTTGTGATGGTGTCTTCTGTAATGAATCAATTATAATTGTATCCTTTATTTTTATTCTTTTGTATTGTTTTTTTTTTATTTGATTAAATTTTTAATTAAATTTATTCAAATAAATGTCATGTATTATATTGTATATTGTAATATTGTAATCTATTGTATTTCTGTTATTTTGTATATAAAGATTTTCTAATTATACTGCAACTGTTAAGAATTTAAACATTATTTTGAAGATTGATATAGTTATTTCTGTATAAGTTCTGAATGATTAAGTATTATACAGATTTATTTTATATTTAATAGATGTGTATTTCAAATATCATAATCTACTGTATTCCTGTAATTTTGTATATATATATATTTCCTAATGATACTGCTACTGTTAAGAATTTTAAACTTTTTTTGAAGATTGATACAGTAATTAGGTCGAATATTCTGAATTATTAAGTTTTATACAGTTTCACGTCATATTTAAAATATGTGCTTTTCAAATATCATAATCTATTGTATTCCTGTTATTTTGTACGTATATATATTTCCTAATTATACTGCAAATGTTAAGAATTAATATTCTTTTAAAGATTGATACAGTTGTTAGGTTAAATGATCTGAATGATTAGGTATTATACAGGTTTATGTCGTATGTAATAAATGTGTTTTTTTAAATATCATAATCTATTGTATTCTTGCCATTTTGTATATATATTTTCTAATAATACTGCAACTGTTAAGAATTAACATCATTTTGAAGATTAATGTAGTTATTTCTGTATAAGTTCTGAATGATTAGGTATTATACAGATTTAAGTCATATTTAGTAGATGTGCATTCCGAAAATCTGTTACATATTGTATTCCTGTTATTTTGTATATATATATATATTTTCTAATTATACTGCTACTGTTAAGAATTTTAAACTTTTTTTGAAGATTGATACAGTTATTAGGTCGAATATTCTGAATTATTAAGTATTATACAGGTTTATGTCATATTTAATATATGTGTATTTTAAATTTCTTAATCTACTGTATTCCTGTTATTGTGTATATATATTTTTTCTAATTATACAGAAACTGTTAAGAATTGACATCCTTTTGAAGATTGATGTAGTTATTTCTGTATAAGTTCTGAATGACCAGGAATTATACAGGTTTATGTCATATTTAATAGATGTGTTGTACAAATATCATAATCTACTGTATTCCAGTTATTTTGTATATATATATATATATATATTTTAATTATACTGCAACTGTTAAAAATGTTAACATCTTTTTAATATATAGTCTGAACTATTAGGTGTTATACAGGTCTATGTAACATTTAATAAATGTATTTTTTAAATATCATATTGTATACTGTAATATCATAATCTATTGTATTCACATATCATTCTGTATAAATACATATATATTTTCTAATTATACTGTAACTGTTAAGAATTAATATCCTATTGAAAATTGATACAGTTATTTCTGTATTAGTTTTGAATGATTAGATATTATACAATTTTATGTCATATTTAATAGATGTATTTTTCCTATTATGTTCTATAAATTGTATTCATTTGTTATATTACAATATCTATTACGTGTACAGTTTTGTTCAACTCGTCTATTATCTTAGTTGTACTGTCTGTAAGTTATTATTATTATCATTGTAATAATCATTATCATGATGATGATGATGATGATTATTATTATTATAGAATAAGAATCTGTATAATCTAATTCTGTTACAGCCGTCACACGTTGTGTCGTGTACACGTTTCTTTAGTAGAAAAGAGGTATGCGAACAAGTGCCAGCACAATTTTGGTACTGACCTTGACAGTGAATTAATCGTCTAAAGTATTACGTCAGTTGACAGACGAACGACAAGCACGAGATACAAACGTGCCGGCTGATATAACAATGTGTCTAACATTTTCTAACTTTAATATGTAAATCATTTTCTTTATTTTGTGATTTTATCATTTCATCCCTCACCTTACCCCATCCTTTCATCTCACCCCCTAGAAAGATTTAATTCAACTTTTGTTTGAAAAGTGTTGAAAAAAGTTGTAAAAAGTTGTGAAAAGTGAAAAATAAAACAAATAAATTGTTTCAATGATTTGAAATACCGTTTTTTGATTTGTCCAATACGCAAACGTTCGGGTGTACGTTCACGATAATTGCTGTACATGTTTTTGTTGATGATTTTTAGGGATGTCAAACGAACATTTTGAAACCTAAAGATTTACTTTTGATTTAACTTAATAAAGAAATGTGCACTCAGGTATAGATGATTATTTTCTTCTATTAACTGTCACTAATACCACGTTGTTAATGCACGACAAAAACGATTAGACTATCTTCTAGGACAATGAAAGACGGTCTTCTCAAGCAAGAAGATCGGAAATACGCTACGAATCTCTGGCTGATAGCCATGGCACCGAATGATAATCTCAACGAGTTCCTTTCGAGTTACCTAAACAAGATGGTACACCTTGTTCTTCTAATTTTTCTTTGTAGTCGTTAAAACTCGTGCGTTAAAACTCGTGACGATGACAAAGACACGATTCATCTTTTGGGATTAGTTTTATCTTCATTTATTATTATTATTATTATTATTATAGTAGAAGTGTTACAATATAGGTTAGAAAATACATTTATTTAATAATATCAAAAGTAGTTTCAGTTAATTTTGTATGAAACAATAAGAAAGATAAAATGTGTTTTGTTGAATTATGTTATCTTTTTCGTTAATTAGGAGATTATAAAATTTGTTACAAATGTTGAGCAATCCAAATCGTGTATAATCTTTGTTCTAATCCCAATAAAACCAAACAAAACACACACCTAGAGATGATATATATTTTATACAATTAAATGAAATACCAACTCCGCCTAGTTAATATCAAGATACCTAGATAATAACTAGTTGATCCCAAGCCCAGATAAAAGAGGAGGGTTTTTAGGGTGAGCTTAGCAACCTATCCTCGGTAAAGAGAAAAATAACAGCTCCTAGAACTAATTTTACAGCTTTTTGAGTCTAAAGTAGTTCTAATAGTAGTCCTAACAATAATAATAATAATAAAAAGAAATGAAATGTTATGTTAAAACTTACTTGTGCTCGGATTTATGATGTCTTCGACATTTACGATCGTCCTCGTGACCAGCAGTAGTCCAAGAAGATACTGGTGGTGAAGTTGACGTTGTTCCTTGATGAGAATTATGATTATTATTATTGTTATTATTATTATTATTATGATAATGATGATGATGATGATGTTGATGTTGGTTGTGATGATTTTGATGATTATCATCCGCGTTTAAACTGTTCGAATCTTCCTCGCGTATTTTTTCAAATTGTACTCTCGGGCTACCGATTGATGTCGAACCGTCACTGAAACCGGAAGCAGCAGCCCTTTCGGAAATTTGTGCCTCGCTACCACTGCTTATTATATTTTCGGTTTCTTCAGTTGTTTCTTCGTCAATTTCGGCATCGTTTGTAGCTGCTGATGATGGACCATTGTCCAATATGTTTATATCGTTTCCATGTCCTATTACGTTTTGACCATTTCTTTCCTCCTCTTCTGGGCTCACCTCAGCCGTTGATCCTTCACTGTATACAGTTCACATAATACAGTTTTTTTTAATTGCTTTTTTTCTTTTTTAAAATTAATTTTGTACAAGTGTGACATGCAATCTTGGAATTAATGAATAATACTGGTGAAAATAAATAAAATTTAGGTTATTAGTTTTAATTAATTGTACGGGAATACAATTAACCCTTAACGTTTCAAGTGTGTTTCTCAGACACCATCGATTTTTCGTGTTCTACTTCAAATATATCGTTGGATCGTTATTGGTAATTATTACGAAATAAAATTTTTTTTTTTTTTTTATATTCCTCAGTTATTAACAAGCGTCACAGTAGTATTTATAATCAAAATTAACACGTCATTGTAGTATTATATTTCAAATCTGACATTTAAAATTGTGCAAGTCGAAGTATGATAGTTAATTAAAATTCGAAGCGTTGAAGGTTAATAATAAGACAACAAAAATATAGTTATGGATTTGGTGTAAAGGTTATGTTGAATTTATTAATATTTTATTTTTGTAATTAATAGAATTTTAATATTTTAATGATTTGCATTAATTAATCATTAATATAAATTAATATATATTAGGTTCTATAAGCCATGTTTGATCAAATGGATACTGCAATCTTGAAATTTGTAAATAGTAATGGTGAAAATAAATAAAATTGAGGTTATTTATTTCTAATTAATTATATGGGAGTACAATTAATAGTATTACAACAAAAATATAGTTATGGGTTTGATCTAAAGGTTATGTTGAAATTGTTAATATTTAATTTTTGTAATTAATATAATTCTAATATTTAAATATTGCTTTTTAATAATTTGCATTAATTAATTATTAATATAAATTAGGTTTATTAAAATAAATTAATGTAGATTAAGTTTTGTAAGCCATGTTTGATCAAATGATTATGCAATCTTAGTATTTATGAATAATAATGGTTAAAATAAATAAAATTGAGGTTATTTATTTCTAATTAATTATATGGGAGTGCAATTAATAGTATTACAACAAAAATATAGCTATGGGTTTGATCTAAAGGTTATGTTGAATTTATTAATATTTAAATATTGCTTTTTAATAATTTGTAACTCATTAATATTTTATTAGGTTCTATAAGCCATCTGTAGGAAAATGGCGGGAACAAAGAGTTGTACAGCTATTATATATATTAAATAAAAATAAAATAATTTTAAATAATTATAAATAAATAATAATATATGTTTATTTGTATTTTAAATATATATTTCATATTTTTATAGTAAATTTTATTTTCAATATTAATTGTATACTTGTTTAAACCATCACCCATATATTGGTATTAATAAGATTAATATAAATGAAATATTATAAATTTCAGATGTTCAATATTTTATTTTCAAATAAATAACGATTGAGATTATTGTTGATATTGTTAAGTAAAAAATAAAGAAAAAAAAATAAACGTAAACAATTCACAATAAAAAAACTCACGGTGAAAGATGTCGTCTCATAGATCTCGAGTGTAAACTTTTTAGTGGCATGTGGGGATGTGGATAACTTCTCTTACGATGTTCTGTAACAAAAATATACAATTTAAATGCAAAAATATAAATAATATTTACATAATAAGAAACAAACAAACAAACAAAAAAAAAAAACATATAAATAATATTTATATAAAAGATAACAACAAAAAATAAAAAAATAAAAAAATAAAAAAATGTTAAATTGATTATTGAAAATGTTATTTTTATATTTTTAATATTTTTAATACTGTTAAAAATGTTTATTTCAATATTAAACATATTATTTATATATTTTTTAGTATTTTTAGTATTTTTAAACTATTAAAAATGTTAATTTCAATATTAATTATTTTAAGTACCAAATTGACCTAATTAACCCCTTCAGCAGCAACTATTTTGGAAAATGAAAACGGCAAAAAAAAATCATTTTTTTTTTCTTTTTCATAAAAGCATAGTTTAGAACATTGTTTTGACAAAAAAAAAATTAAAACAAAATACAGAAATAATATAATATTTTTATGTTAATTTTGAATTTTGTTCCATGGAAAAAGGTTTACATTTTATTAATAAATAAATAATTGTTATAGCTTGTAAATGATAAATATCAATAAAACGATTCTTTTTCTTTGCCTTTACATTCTCATTTTCAATTTTCTATTATATTTGAGTGTAAAAAATCATAGAAAAATAAAATAATACGCCGCTTGTGTTAACTCGAGCATGCGAAAATCGGCCGGTTTTAGGGCGATCGAGTTAACTCGAGCGTGCTGCTGCTTAAAGGGTTAAATCTGTTAATTTGTACTTCTGTTATTACTGTTTAATTTGATCGAAATTTGAATGAATTACGATTAAGTTCATGGTCTCCATATCGTGGTGGTCCTCGATCACGATCACGTTCGGATCCTGCTGATTCTGTAGGTGAACCAAGCCGGGCTACGTCGAATTTTTCTCCGTCGTCCATCGCGAAAACCTTCTCCATCTCTTCGTCGAGTTCTGGAACCGTTTCCGCGCCATGCCCGTCGACCTATTGACATAATCAATATATATTATTTAATATTTTATTCTTTTTTTCTTTTTCTTTTTTATCAATAAAAAAAATCAATTATTTTCACATAATTTTATAATACAATTAAACATTTAAATCTACGACTTACACACTCAATCAAATTACACGTAATACACAATATATCATTCATATATTTCATTTAATTTTTTTTTTTTTTTTTTTATCAATAAGAAAAATTATTTTAATTGTTTAATTAACATTTAAATGTACTACACTTGATCAAATTGCATGTAATCAATTTATTATTCAATATTTTCTTTTGTTATCAACATGAAAGATCAATTATTTTCATTTAACTTTAAAATAGTTATTCAATGTAGTCAATATATTATTTACAAATTATTTCATCTTCATTTTTATCAATAAACAAATTATTTTTTTTAATTATTTTCACATAATTTTATAATAAATTTAACATTTCAATCTATCACACACTCAATCAAATTACACGTATTCAATATATTATTTATTATGTTCTTTTTTATCAACAACAAAAATTAATATAATTATTTTATTAAATAATAATAAATAAATTTATTAATTAATTTTTATAATAGAATTTAACATTAAACCTATAACGCTTGATCAAATTACAAATATTCTGTAATTTGTAAGTAAATAAAATTTAGATTATTTATTTATAAATAAACAAAAAATATATTATTCGTTATCCAATTGGCTACAATCTTATTCTATATTAACATATATATATATATGTCTTATTTTTTTAAACAATAAGAATAAGTATACCTGAACTGTCAGGTAATTAACTGTATTAAAGTAACTGTAAACATGACTTTATTATTATTAGTTATTAGTAATTATATTTATTAGTTTATTTATATAATTACTATTATAATAGAATATTTATTTACTATTAATACACACACACACACACATATATATATATATATATATATATATTAATAGTAAAATTATTAATTATAATTAAAACTATTACTAGTTATTACTAGTTATTAATTAAAACTGTATTACTAGTTATTAGTAATTATATTTATTAGCTTATTTATATAATTACTATTATAATAGAGTATTTATTTACTATTAATACACACACACATATATATATATATATTAATAGTAAAAAATAACACGCATAATAATATATAAATAATATTATAATATTATTTACTATTATAATAAAATTATAATAATAATATAATTAATAACTATATTAACTATAGTTATTAGTAAATATATTATTAAGTAAAGAATAATTTACTAAAGAGTAAAATTAACTGTAAATATAACCAAAACACTAGGTTTAGTGTTAAGGTTTTTACTTAATTTTTAGATTACAAAATAAAACTATAAAATATTAACTGAATTTCAATAACGATTTATATCACAAATTATTTAATAAAGATTTTGTTGAAAAAATAAATTAATAAACTATTAACAATAATAATTAAATAATTGTATCTTCAATTTAAGTCAAATTATATATATAAAAAAAAAAATATATCGCAAGTTTCAAACAACTTCAATTTCAAACAACATGTACGAGTAAAAAAACTGAACACAATTATTTTCTTTTTTTTACAAAAAACAAATACACACAACCACCCACCCAGCCACACACACACACACAACGTAGTAATTATTATTATTATTATTTATTTATTTTTTGTTGTTGTTACTTTTTCCAAACTATGTTCATAACTTTAATAAGACGAAACAATTCCAACTAAATCAAACGATCATAATTTATTAACCAAAGAGAATATTTGGAAATAATACTGTGCATGTTAAATCATTCGTTAGAAAACGATTTAAAGGGTCGACACAAAGTATATAACAGGGAGTTCTATAATAAACTTCAGTGAAATAGACAACACATTTTTGCTGGGTACAGTTTGGTACGGAATGGTACTGCTGCACGTTATGGTACATGTCGGATAATAACGAGCTCGTGCTCGTTTAAAACTTTGTCATGGTTGAAAAAAAAAAAAAAAATCAAATTAACGAATCAAATTGGAACATAAACGAAACAATAGAAGAAATAATAAATGAATATTAAGTAACAACAAATCAATTAAACACACATTTTCATTAAAATTATCGTTCACTTTCTGATAATTGTTATTAAATAATTTCTAATATATTTGAATTTGAAATATTTTTAATAGATTTTTATACTTTATTAAGGGGAGAGGGGTGGGGGTGGATGTAAATTTAATTTTGTTAAAAAAGAATGTTCTATTTGAAGAGAAAATTAGGATAAGTTAAAATAAGTTACACCTATTTTTCATTTAATATTCTTCATACTATTCTTATTCAATAATTTTAGATATAGTTGGATTGATAATATTAATCCTTTAAGTGCTATGGACGCATATAAGCGTTTGGTAAAAATTAGTAACCTTATTGTTCAAAGCATATACGTGTTTGTTAATATTAATGTCAAATAATTGAATATTTTTATATTATTAATAATATATTAATAATATATTGAGAAATAAAAATTTCAATTATTAAATATAATTTATTATTAGAATTTGGTTAATAATAAATTATTCTGTTTCTATAAAATATTTTAGGTAAAAGTATTCTGCAATCAATAGGTTAATAATATTAATTAAAAAAATATTACTTCAATTATTATTATTAATATTAATATATGCTTTTAGTAATTAGTGCAAACTATTGAAATGTACCTAATTGCATAAAAAAAAAATATATATAAAAATAAAATCAATGATCTATTAACTATCTTATTTATCATATAATTTTGAGAAATAAGATAATATTTATTTATATTTATATTATTAATTATTGATAATTATATTAATAATTTCAAATATAATCATATTGATAATTGTTTTAAAATACTTTCAGTATATAAAAAACATATTATCAGAATACACTTAATTCTATTTAACAACAACAACAACAACAACAACAAAATATATATAATAAAAATAAAATCAATGATCTATGAACTATTAACTATTTTATTCATTACAAAATTATTAATAATATTAGATATAGTCATGCTAATAATAGTTCTAAAATACTTTCAGTATATAAAAACATATTATTAGAATAAATTTAATTCTATTTAACAACAACAACAATAACAACAATAAGAAAATATATAAAAATAAAATCAATGATCCTATTACCTATTTTATTTCCACCACAATTCCATACAAAACTAGAACTGACATTTAGAGTACTTGTGTTAGATATTACCATACTTTTTGGGGGGTACCATTTAATTTGATATGTAAAAAAAAAAGAAGAAGAAGAGATAAAAGTAGATTTAGTAAATGTTATCTAATCAACAGAATTTTACATCAATCGACAAATATCGATCTTGTAAAACGTGCAATGCTCTATCATATGTTTGCCATAACTTCATGGTAAATGATGAATACGTAATAGTTATTTATATATACATATAAATATCTTATTATTCTATTAAATGTTATTTTTAAATATTACTATTATATTATACTATTATCTATAATAGTACAAGATATTCTAATCATTTCTATTCTAACATAATTCAATACAAGTATTGTCTTCTTTTAATATTCAACTTGGAATTAGATATACAGTTATACATGTATGTATAAAACGTGCAATGTTTTATCGCATGCTTGCATAACTTGATGTTAAATGATGAATTATCAATTTTGAAGATATTATAATCAATTCGAACATAATTCAATATAGGTGTTGTCTTCTTTTAATATTCAGCTTGGAATTAGATATACAGTTATACATGTATGTATAAAACATGCAATGTTTTATCGTATGCTTGTCATAGCTTCA